TTAGTATTTTTTTTACCGAGCTTGTATGCAACAGTCCTTGTCAAATTTGACCAGATGATATATATCTCTGTCTTAATGTGTACAAATTTACAAACGATACTAAAGGGAACTTACAAACTTCCAGACGTCCTGAAAAGATCACTATTTAGTGTATATTTCATGCCGAGGACATTATTGGACCAATACTTATTAAAAAATAAAGTTAGTACCAACGCACCTTTTAAATAATTCATTATTTTTTAAGATCTGAATTGAAATCAGTCAATTAAATGCTAAATAGCAGAGCGTGAACTCATCACTTGGTGGAGATGAACATTAACTAAAATAAGCATGGCAATCGGGCAGCATGGACACCGAAATTTGCATTGCATAACGTAATTACATACCATAGCGTTTACGAACTACAATAATATTGGCTATTTTATTAATTCTTCTGTGTTTCATTTATAATAAAAGAAAACTTTACATTAAAAAAAAAAGATACTAGGTGTAGTAATTCGTCAAAAATATCTAGAATCTAGATCTTCGATATATATAGCAAAATATTCTGTACGACCTGGATTGGAAGATCGTTGTCAGCTATTCAACTAAACGACTGGACTGAACATTGAATTGAAGAACTAGACGATAAATGACTGAATTATTATATTATAAATTTACATAGTTTTGCCACAAAAAACCAACAAATCTACGATGTGCAACAATATATAAAGAAAAAATTAATTGATATGGTTTCGCATAGAAGTTTTTGGATTCCAAAATTTATTCCTCGAAATCCATTTTATTATATAGTTTAAGGTTGCTTGGATTTATTACATTATATCTTTCTCTACACTTCGCTACTTCAGTGACTAAATTTTTCTTATTTACAAAGGTTCATACTAACAATGCTAGCCAGATATATCTCAAAAATTGCCAAGTACTCTAGGAGAAATGTTATGTCAGAGTTAGAATAGAATATATCCTAAGCCTTAATCTTTACGCGCAGCATTCCAGACATAAGACTTTGCTGTCTATTTTTTAAATCTTTTTTTTTTACCCAATTGGTTTACTTATACATTTATAGATTTGTTTTTGAAATTAAAAAAAAAAGTGAGCCAACAATGCGACAATGGAGAGAGCTGATGGGCTGTGTATATTGCTTTTGCTCATAAAAGTATGCAATAGAATTCAAAGCAATTAATTTTTCGATAAAATCAATACTGAGTTTTTCACTACATAGACAGATGGAGCAACGCAAAAATTAAATTGTCAGCCATCTTGCATTGAAAAAGAATTTCGATTATTTTCGGAACTCACGGCTGAGTAAATTTTCAAACTAGCAGAGAGTGAAGTTATATATAATAATGAGTAAAAAAAGACTGTAGGCGATCTACAAGTAGTTAACGGACAATATCGAAGACACAACCAAAGCTATGAAAAAAATCTAGCTTTAAAAAACTAGTGTTATTTTCGAGATCCAGTCTGAATACTTCTAGTAATAATAATTCCAAGCATATGAGAAACATAACTTTGAAATGAACATAACTACCATATTTCTATTTTTAATTTAGGTCCATGTCGGTTGTAATTTTACAGCATTGAAATCACCCATGATATTGGCAATAAACTACCAATAGCCATCAAATTAAAATAGCAAATTATATAATATAAATTATATAATAAAATTTTTTCAATTGAAAGCTTCAATACATTTCAAGCTACAATTATACGCGCCTAAACGCTGCCTTTCGCAATTTCGCTTTCAATATTATGAAATATCGGTCATTGACCCGATCACCCGCTGACACGCATTTAACGAATTTTTCTACATTTTTCTGCCAATTAAACCAATTATGAACATTTTCAAATTAAATATCCGTCACATACACACATACATATGTACATATTGTACATATGTGTGAATTTATGTATAAAAGTATTTATTTTTGTATCAAAAAGAAATAAAAGTAAATGCCGAAATTTGCATGCTGTGAGCCATTACAAAATTAGCCTTCTTTCAATGAGCGCACGCGTGTGTGTGTGTATACAAGTATGTGTGTAAAGTGGCATCGATCAAGTTAATTGTTTGTTGGCGATGTTAAATAGCAATTTATGATGGCTTTTGTATCGCCATCGACGAGCTGAATCGCTGTTAATGTTACGCACAAGCGGAGCATCCATTGGAGTCGTGGCGCTGATGCCAGAAAGCCACAAACATACATATTTACATGCGTTAATGTGTGTGTGTGTGAATGTGTGTGCGTGAGTGTGTTTTGTTTACGTGCAGCTTACAGATAAGCGTTAGCTATAAATTGACACCGTTTTTCGATTGTTTTGTTGTTGCCTTATCATTATGTTGTTGCTTTGACGTGATGCTTTCTGGGTTGATTGTATGAGATTAATTTGTTTTTTTTTCGTATTTTTATTATTTTTTCTCTCTGCCACCAGCATATTTGCAAAACTCGGCTTTTAGCATACGCAAATATCGTGATATATGTTTGTGAATGACAACTATGTAAATATGGAGAAAATGTATTTATGTGCAAAAGTTTGGCCCTCTTTACTATTTGTTGACGCCTTCGCAGACTCACGTCATTACTTGGTTTGTGGTTCGCCTAGACCCAACTTTGAACAATGCAGCCAGGCGGGTAGACACCTTCGTCTATCATAATATATACATATATACTTATGATACATATGTATATATATGTACATACATATACATATACATATCTGTATATACATACAGTCATATAAATATTTTTAAATACGAGTTATTTCTGTGTTGTTTTTGCAAAAAATGTGATATTCATACATAATTATGCATTATTAATTATGCATGCATGTATGTTTGTATGTCAATTTGTCATTAATAAATCTGTGCTAATTATGTTTATTTATACTGTGTTTGTTATTGCTTTCTCGTACACGCGACACTTTAAAAATTGCCACTCTGATTATAGTCACACATATTTATTTATTTTTTTGTATATATATCTATGCATGTGAATCAATCATAACTAGTTACCTATTTTCAAATATCGCAAATATTGAATTTTGTGGAATCTTCGCGATAAGTTTGCGAAACGCTGCTTACCGAAGTGGAGGAAGTAATTTGTTGTCATTTATTGTTTGTACACAACTATTTGCTAATTTAATAAAAAACAACTTTTGTTTGTCAAATATTTAGCAATAGAAGTCACTTATGAAGTTCAAAATGTAGATGAGAGGCTGTTTTTCCTAAACTGAAGAGACGCTAGACTGGCGGCATACCAGATGTATGATCTATTGATTTAACAGTTTTTCGAGAAAATGGCAAAGACTACGGAACTACCACACAACTTATTCTAAAACTTATGATTGAAAACTTCAGTGATTTTCAAACTATTGCTTATTGATCTTTCTATCTAAATCTATTGCTTAATGCATGTAATAAAACATAGGTTTTTTGTTTGTCATCGACAAATCATCATGGGTATAAAGAGCACCTTCGCTTTGACAATGAAATTCAATAGTTTTCTAGTAAAACTATATCTAAGATGCAGTTTATGGCAAATTAACCTCAAGAGTTCAGGACTGAGGCAAACAAGCGGTTTTTAGTATGATACTCAGTGAACATCAATTGAATCCTGGCTTATATAAGTATATTTGCCATATATATAAAATCAATGAAGCAGACCGTTCAGAAGATGTCACTTCAATTAAGTTAATTAATTAGTAGAATCGATGGTACTTGTTGAGGAACATAAATGTTGTAATGTTAAATAGATTCTTCTAAATTTTTAGTCCTCAGTCAATTTAGGTTAGATGAAATGGTTGATTCTAACAGGAATCACACTTGGATAGCTTATAAATCAACAAAGCGCTTTGAGCTGATCGCAATTTGTTGTGGTAGCTAATGTCAGTTTCGGCTATGTCGTCTGGTTTTCCGAAAGTATGACAGCCGAGATGTTTCAATCTTTATCATGCAAAAGCTGGACAATGGAGAAGCAAGTACTCGAATGTTTCGAGCTCACTTTCTTCCATACAACTTTGGCAATTTGCGTTCAACTACATTCAGCCTTACAGCATGAATGCCTATTGAACAATGTCTAACCAATGTTAAACTTTGCTAAGGGCAAGTAGTTCAGTAGATCTCTTACGTTCTACTCTACCAACGTCTGCTAAGCATACGCTTAGGTTCATAGGTTCAAAGCTAGAACACAAGATTACCACGAAGATCGAATGTATTTCCACTTCACCGTGAGCGGGCTAAGGGTGCTCTGCTGTCAGAGTGAACGCTCACCTCCCTGAAAAAAGCTGCATCTGCTGTATATTTAATATTAGCCACTTCTAACTTAAAAACACGGTAGTCCACCTAACCTAGAGCTAAGCTTAAACACACTGCAATTTACTCTTGGATAAATTAAACACATTTTGTTATGATCGGTATGCAAAAATTAGTCTTATTTATGAGACCACTAACACCATAAATAATGTATTTCGCACTGTTGCATCAGGAAAACTTTATAAAAGTCAGCATTCTATTCACAATATCATACAAATTGTTTACTTCAACTTTATTTTCTGTATATACGGTAGGTATACAGTTTGTTGCTTAAGTCTTTTATATTCAAGCTAATAAATTATACAAACTGAAATTTTTAATGCAATAAATTGTTGAGGTATCAACAAATAATATATTTTTAAGTAAATAATGAAAGAATGATAATTTATTATTGCCAAAGAATTTTCTAGCAGATATTTACCATGGTAATCGGGTCTATTATAGCCATAATGGACCTGGATTTATAGCTAGTAAAATACTGTTTTTTAAATTTTTTCACGAATATTTTCGTTTTGAAGAATTTCGCTGCAAAAGCTGACATTTCAAAAGAAGTAAAAATATTTGTACAATTTTGGATGTGCTATGGTGTTTTTCAATATATATTTTGTTTTTAAGTTTTGTGCTGTTTAGGTAACAGTTGGGACGGATTCTCTGTAGCAAAGGGTGTTTAATAAAAACAAAAAACTAACTATTTGTATTTTTATATTTTATAAAAATATATATTTATTTTGATTTTTGTATAACATCGTGTATACAAAGTTTTAAATATTACCAAATATAATATTTTGAAAATACATATACATATAACAAATAAATAATATGAGTGCCATTATGAAATTTGCAAATGATAGTCTTTTTTTTTGTAAACCAAAGCAATAATATAATAATAATAAGCAAAAAAAAAAAAAATTCTGGGCTTTTATTTTGAAAAAAAAAAATTATAAAACTTAAAAGCTTTAAACCAAAATTTATCACAAACATTGAAATTAATTAAATTTCATTTGGAAGCCAATGGAAAATGTGCGTTGTTGCATTGAAGTTGCGTTTGTATGCATAAACATATAAAAATAAAATACACTAACAACTAAAAGTATGTAAATAAATGCCATGAACACTGTTTAATGGAAGCGCCATAAACTTATGCTTGACCGTTAGCTGGTCAAATATGCAAATAACTGTTATTAAAGATGATGATGCGTTGAGATGTGATGCTTGGAGCCTGCAATTGGCAATTTCAGGGCGTATGAGGAACATTTCTACACTTAAGCGGCGCTTATACACACACACACACATATGTATATATGTATTTACATGCCCTCACACGTGGCCATGCATGCCTCATAGCTGGAGAAGTTGTTCTCGTTGCCATCGCAGCCACCAAATTTGAACTCGACGCAAGTTTTACGGCTGGGATCGTAGCTGAAGCGCGGTATGAGCGCGCGGCAGACGCCTTTGCGTATTGGCATGCGGCAAAAGGTTTCCGGTGCTGAGCGCCCTGACACGGGCACATCGTCTAGCGAGACGGCATCGAAGAAATCGCCGACATCGTCGTACAGATCCATGGGATGCGCCTCCACATTGGCTGTATTTCTGATGAGCAGCAGCAGTAGTGAGAGTAAACAAACAAAGCTGAAGACGTTTCGCAGCATAATCAGACGTTTGCTGTTGGCACTTTGGTGTTGCATTGTTGTAAATATATTTTTATCGGTACAAACACTTGTAAAGTCTTTATTGTAAAACTAACTAAATTATTTTCACTTTTTTTTAGTTTTTTGAAAAATTTGCACTCAAAATTCTTTTTTTTTTCAAATTTATTGCTTTTTGTAGAAAATTAAAATTTGTTTTTGGTTTCCTTGCTAAGTCACTTAATGGTTGGTGTTTGCAGTCAAACTGAACTTGTTGCGGTTATGCTACGCGATTTTATATGAGCCTGCGCTGTGTGGTCTAGAGTGGTCGCCGGCAGCTAGCGAATTCAACCAAAGCCAACATTACCACCAACACAAACGCAATCAGTTGGCAACAACTACAACAATATAAGTGTGTATGCATGTGTGTTGCCAGCAACGATCGTCAACAACATATAATAAGTAAGCGGTTAAAGCTACTCTCTCTCCACCAGCGAGTTACTCGCATAATTGCTCTCTCTTACGTCGGCTTCGCGGCACAACACCTACTTGCTTTCTCTTTGCTCTTGAACAATTGTCTGCCAGTATTTTAGTTGCAATTGTTGCGGGTAATTCCCATGCTAACAAATAAATCGTTGAATGTGTAAAAATAAAAAGCATTTCTGCGTATTTTTTTGCGCCATCTGTCATATTTATGTCTGTATGTGTGTAGGCGCTGAGTGTCGCTCGGCACGCTTCACGTATTTTACTACTCTTGCGCTTCGAGCGGTGAAGCGGTCTGTTTACTTAATTTTAGCACCTGTTTGCATAGTGACGACGCATGCGTCACGTTGCATACGCATCTTGTTGAAATACCAGTTAAATGAGGTCTATTTGTATTCGCAAAACGAGGGGAAAAATCGATGACGTCAAATTAGTTAGCGCTCTGGTTCAGCAAGTAAGTGTGGTTTCCCAAAAAAGGTAAATAAATATAAAAAAATACGAGTATGTAGGTTGTATATACAATTAGGAGCTTTTTTTGCGAAATATAGAATTTTATAGAATATCTATCTAGCTAGTTGTCAAAATAGACATACCTATGTATGTGTTGAACATTTACATTCTGTACACTTTCGAAAATTTCTATTTAGGCAGTGTAGACTTTCGCTGGAACAACTTTTAAAAAGCTTTGTAAATTTCAGTTTTATTTTCCATATTTGGCAATTTTTATCAACTTATGCAATTATAATTATATACTTATTTTTTATGCATTATTATTATTTTTTTTTGATATTAATTCAAGTTACTTTTTTTGAGCGTGGTTACCGATAAGTAAATAATTTTTTTCCTTTATTGAATAAATAAGAAGTTAATATTGTTTAGAATATTTTGATTATCTTACATTACATGTAGGTTATTCAGGAATTTTTATTATTGAAATCAGAGATCTCTAATTGAAACTATAGGTTTATGGTAACTGAAATAAGAAACATAAGTTTGAGACTTGATATTCTCTAAATATTTCGAAAATACCGCGTCAATGGTGGTCCCATATATTGTTGTGGATTCTTGTAGATCTTTATTCATTTTCAAATTAAATTTTTTCGAAAGAAAAGTTGTCAACCGCTCTGGTTTTTTATCAGCGAAGTTGATGTTGACCATTGATAATACGATTGAAATACCTAATTTGTATTGTATTGTTTAGTTCAAACGAGATATTGTTCCCAAAGGTGGAGTAGTTTTGTAATTGTATATAATTTTTGAATCACCCTGCTCTTCAATTAATTTGTTCCGCTTGAAATATGCGAAAATACGCCTGAAAGTATGCAAACAATTTGCGCATACTTTATGATTGTGTTAGGTTCATTTCCGTTACGAAATTTCTTGATTCAGTCCACGCGCTCATAGCATGCGACAGAAGCTCTGCAATAGCTTAAAAGTTATTATATAGTTGATATATAAAGAAAGTTTTTTTGTGTTCTTACATATTGCTCTCAAAGTTTGGTTTAATGTGTTTCTTAGTTTAAAGTATCGTAAAAATTGGTTTGTGAAGCAAATTTTTCACCATTTCCCTGCCATTTTCCGTAAAAGTCTAAATTTATGTACATACATATATACCATTTGTACGAAAATCGTTTTTTTTTTAGTACGGAGAAAAATTAAACAAGTTTGCGTTCACAATGGAATTACGTCGACGGAATTATTAAAGACGTTGCAGAAGTATTTTGGAGAGTCTACGTCACAAAGCATTCAGTGAAGATCGCAAAGTCATCGAAAACTTTCTTCATGCGATTCGTCGTAGATAGCAGAGGATCTCAACATCTCTTATGGTGGATCGACTCAACCTGAATTTGCCGAAATTGCCTATTTTGAAGGTGATAATAAAGTTTTAGATTCAAATACGTGAAAATGTAGATTTTTAGTCAGTTGTCACCGTTAGGTGATCTTAAATACTACTCTCTGAACAACATTTTATTAGACTATACTCTACGGGTAGTCAGAATTTTTCTTTCTATTTTTTTCTACATTTTCGTTAAGTGTAATATCTTGAAAATATTCTCTAAAAACTTCTAGTTGATCCGATAATTATTTTTTGAGTTATTCGACAAATAACAAAGCTTGCTCGGGCACTTCAAAGCGCTCGGGAGCAGGTAGATGAAACTTTAAATGCGTTTTCCTATGTTTTTGAACTGGTGACAACTGTAACGCGAAAACCGCTTAGTAGATTTTAATGAAATTTATAAAGGTTTTAGAATACATAATAAACGCTGATCGAAGGATTTTTTTTTTTAAAAATTTCGATTTTTTAAGACCAATTAAGTGTTGAATTTTTCCCAAAAACCTAGAAAAATATTTCCTGAGGCCGTCATTTTGTTAATTTTTGAAAAAATAAAAAAAGCTTCGATCAGGCCCAGGATTATCTATTTATAAAACTAATGTTTTCTATCCGATTGATTTTAGATGAATTTTCCAAGGACTCAGATTGTCACCTCAAGGACATTTTTTTTGGAAATGGGTACACAGGTAGCTATAACTTTGGAAAATAAAATTTCTTTTTTTGAAATTTTCGTGACTTCATGTCAAAATATTGTATAATAATGCCATATTACTACTTTAGTAAAATAACATGATTTAATAGCAAAAAAAAAAATTGCTGAAAATTCTCAGTTTTTCGTGCCTGTGACTACCCCTTAAGCAAATGCATTTGCGCACGCATACAAAGCAAATTAGCATAACTTGTGCTTACCACATTTTTATGAACGCATTGTTTTTATACGGGTGCCTAGCTTGTTTCCAAAGCGAGTCAGTATTTCCGCATTATGACTATGCGTGAAACATAGTTCATTAGTACATTTTTTACTTGCATTATTTTCTAGAAGAGGGAAAATTCAAACAAACTGAAAGCGGTAACTACATTCAATATTATGAATACGCAGACTATGTGAGCGTACACAAGGAATTGTAGCTGTTTTGTAAGTAAGTGTGTCTAGTATTCAATTTTTTTTTTGAAAATGCACTTTTTATGAATTATATACATAAAAGATACAATAATTTTGTTTAACCAGCATAAATAGGTGTTATTATTTAAATAAAACCGATAAGTTTGGTAACTCCCCTCATTTTTTGTTTTATTATTTTTATAAAAAGTAAATATTAAACGAAGACTTATTAAAATTCACTTGAGTGCGCGTGGCGTGATAATGGAAATTCAATTAAATGAAAAACAACTCATGTAAACCCCCATCGGGGAAAATTTTGTAGGCAAAGTATAATACAACAAATGAAGATACATTTAAAAGTTTTTATTAATTTACTCTTTTGTAAGTTAAATACAATTCTTAATTGGCAATTGTTAGTCGGTTTGGAGACAGGACTTCTTTAGAATTACTGGAAAATATTTATACTAATTTGAAGTAATATTGCATTGATCATTAGTTTTCTGATTGACTCCTTTTATACAATGTTAAAAGTATTCTAACCGTACCCCAGTTATACCCCGAATGTCAGTTACGAATCTTGAAAAAAGTGTTTCCTTTTTTAGATTTTTGAACAGTACTCCTTATACATATATGTATGCTTTCTAGCGTTAATGGTATATAAGAAGACGAAAAAGTTAGAAATAAACACACTCGATATGTTGCTACAGAACTGTGAATATTTCATTTTTTATATTGGGTCATTCACTAAGTAATTTCGTTTGATGACAACAGCTGATCATATTGAATATTTCCGCAGCCAACTTCACACTTTACCGCTTTACCGTTATACAAGTATATGTAAACAGCTAATATAGTAAGGCTTGTTTGTACACATTTTTCTCATTTATATATATATATATTGGAATAGTTTTTGTTTGGTGGCCTATCAAAGATGGAGGATCCAAAACAGCATTATGTTTTATTATCAAAATGGTAAAAATGCAGTTCGGGCAATGTGAAAATTATATGATGTGTATGGAGAACACATCTTCTCTGAAACGAAATGCCGAACGCTAATTTCAAAATTGGTTTGCAAGATTTTGTTCCGATAATTTCGATCTTCAGGAAGGCGTCTTGAAGCCGATGTGAATAAAATAAAGGCGTTGGTCGATGCAACTCGTCGAATAAAAGATCGAGAAATTGCTGAATGAAAAAATTTGTCTAACGCAACCATTCACAAGCACATGAAATATCTAGGATTAACTTTGAAGCTTGACACAACATATGGGTTCCTCAGGTCTTACAGAAGGAAATTTGCATCGCCGCGTTAACGACTGTGATTTGCTTATCAAACATTAAAGAAGTGCACCGTTATTGAAGCTCATTGGAGCACAAAAAAGGATGAACTAACTCAAACCACTTCGAAGGCCAATAGTCACCCAAAAAAGGTTATGTTTTCTGTATGGTGTTATGTCAAAGCGATCGTTTATTTTGAGTTTTTGCCGAACAATACCACCATTAATTTTAAAGTGTATTGTAATCAGCTGGACAAATTGAGTAATGCACTCAAACAGAAGAGGCCAGAATTGGTCAATAGCATAGATGTAGTGTTCCACCAGCATAATGTGAGACCTCATACAAGTTTGATGACCCGTCAAAAGCTTTTGCAGTTTGAATGGGATGTGCTTCCACACCCAGCATATTATCCAGACTTGACAGCTTACTTGTTCCGGTCTATGCAAAATTTTTTGGTGCCAATCGGATAAAATTAAAATTTTATCGGTCGAAGCGCAGTTTCCAAGCTAGGGAGAACGCGGTTGTAGTCAAAGAGGTGCCCAAGTAACCTGCACCTTATTTTTATGAATTTTATCATAATGAGCAAAATGGTCAAATAAGATTCTTGCTGAGGAA